TATCAAATGAAACTTAACATAGCGCATTGTTCTAAATTTCATCCTCTGTCTATAAAGACAGTAACGCATAGAAATTTGCTATATATTGAGTGAGATCTGAACTTCGAATGTTGCTAAGACGGCGGTAAGCTTTTTACTCCAGCTATTCATAGTGTAACAAAGTTATATAACTTAAGTGATATAATTTGTTTTGATTTCAAATACAAGAGCTTTGCACGGAAAAAGATTCCTTACAAATCCATGCTGTTAAAACAACTTTTATCTTCTTCGATACGTGAATAAGACAATACAAGAACCTCTATCTGTGATTGGTTTATACATAGGAGATGACTAAGACAATTTTTCAACATGAAATGTCGATTCAAATAGAATACCTGATGCAGTTTGTAGTGCCCATACTAATGATATATTGAACAATAAAATAAGGTAAACGTTATAGGAATTCCGGAGAGCACAAATTGTTTTATTGAATCGTGTATTATAACGAACATTTTAACTTAGAACATGCAGTTTGCAAAAATAAGTGTTTGAACACTTTTAGAAGAATGAAAATGGCATTTTATAATTATATCGTCATTCATAATTAATGATTCTAGCACATCTCATCTAGTTGTTAAGATATACACAAAAGAATATAAATCTATCTATTACATAGCTGAGTAATTTTAATATCTACTTTATATACTGATAGTTCAAATAGTGCTCTATATTTTCTATAATATTTTACCATCCTTTAGTTAGTATAATCATATAATAATTTCAATCAAAGCTGTTTACCTCTGATTTCCTTAGATAAGTAAAACTTTCGATTCTACAATACATTCTGTACTGTTGAGTATATTCAGGCGAGAGTTATTTATAATATAACTATATTTTGTTTTCGGCGATTAGGCTCTACCTCTTAAAATAGTTGAAAGATGATATGAATAGTTTCGTAGAGATCGAAAAGACGTTAAAGACGAAGAACGGCCTGCTAGACCTGTAATTCAGACCAAATCTTTCGTGAGCACCCTCAAGGTCAACTGTTACGATACCTAGCTAGTCGTAAGCTCTTCAGGTTTACGATGATCGGAGACTATTCGTTGGATGTCGGTGTGAGTATAGGTTAACAAACGGTTCACATTCACATCTAAGATATATCAAGCTTACATAAGGCACAAAGATGAAGTTTCCATGCAAAATAATAGAAAAACTACTTTTGCGTCTTCTGTAGGATTGATGTATCGCAGTCAAAAAACATCATAGAGAGTTGGAAGATGTTACATATTGTACGTAACTGTTTATTCTATCATTCTTGGTTTCCATTTTCAAATTTCAGGAACTAAAAACTCAGGTTTTGGCTTTTCAAAGATTCTGTTCCTGAGAAACTAACAATCATTTTCACCTTCGAAAACTCTGTGGGAAATGAGGATGTGGGTCGTTTGTTAATTCATAGCCAATATCCACAACCTTTTCCTCCAATTTTTGTGCAATGAAGTTATTAATCAATGAAAGCTAGAAAATTGTTTTCTCCATATTTTTTCTCGATAATATTCCGCATAAATCTTCATTGGATCGTACACATCTTCGAATTTTCCATTACTATCTTGAGCTAAAATTTGAGCATTAAATAATTCATTAATGAATTGCAACACAATCTTTGTTCTTTCTTTATGTTCTATATGTAGTGTATTCATATATTTTAGTTAATTTTAAATCATTTGTTCAGGAAATAATTAGTTATACTGATCACGTCACTAAGTGCTTCATCATAGATCCAAAAATAAGCAATTACGACAATTTTAACTAGATGGCATTCAAGTTTTTATGATTATGGTTTTTCTTTTATCATCATCACTATTTACCAATTAATATTTCGGACTGACAGGTGAAAGGAAAATATGAATGTTGATGGCACACCACATTTAGAATAAAAAAAATTCAATGTGTCTATTTGATTTTGATATATGAAATAAGCGAAGTTTTCTAAAAAAAAAAGATAATTTCGTTGTCTGACAACAACAATTCATGATGTTTTACAGTAGGCGTATTTAGGTTTGATATGAAGAAAATGTAATGAAAAAAAATTGTCAGTTTTCGTCGGTTGCTCTCATGTTAAATAGCACTATTGAGTACCTAGTAAAAAAGTTCCGAAACAATTATATCATTTTTTTTTCTTCAATAGAGATTTATCTCTATTATTAGTCTGATCAACGTAACCTTTTTTTACAAAACTGTTTATAAAAATCAGTTTGATTAGAATTATATATAAAAAAAAAGAAATTTATTTCACACAATAGAAAAAAAAAAATGTTTTATTTAGTCAAGTTCCAATGCACAACAACGTGGTGTTGCTCCACCTGCACACCAACAATCAAAACAAATATTTAACGGTACAGGATCAGTAACTGTTGGTGCTGTTCCAGTTGGTTTTGGTCGAAGACTTCTACAAACAATACATTGAAGTGAATGTGGATAACCCATCGAACCATGTTTTTGACAAAGGCGTGCTTCACGTTTGAAAGCATTTGCTTGTGCCATATTTCCTCCCATAATCATATTAGTACAAATTAAACATGAACTTTTTGCCATTGTAAATGGACCTAGTTTAAATTGCATGGCACATACATGGCATAAGTAAGCACGTTGACTTAAAGGAGTATCGGCATGAGGAATATATTTTGTACAACGACGTCTCTAAATATAATTAAAACAATATATTGATTGTAATATTTTATAATTTAACTATTTTATAAAATAAATATTCTTACGCGTAGATATGCTTGTCGATCTATTCGACTAATTTTACGTGATTCTGACGAACGTAAATATGTAACAAGCTCTTTATACATATGACCTTGTTCATAATGATATGGAATACGACGAGAAGAAAAATCTTTAATTGTTGAATGTTTAAGATAAAAATCAGCCATAAAACTATTTAAAGAACGTATTTCATCTGTATTTTCTTTTAAACAACGTTTTTGTAATATCTAATGAATAAAAATTATTATATACATATTCATAATTTGAATCTAAACCTGTTCAAGTGATGCATGACGATAAATAACAAGTTGATGTCCATCCATCCATGTTGTATCAAGAAATGTTTTCAAATGTCGTTGTATTGTTGACCATGTCATTCGATTTACAAGAATTTGATTATTTTCATCTGTAGTTTTGTTCATAAAATGTTGAAGCATACTAACTATATCGGATTCAAGTAAACCAACATTTGATATAATTAATAATTTAAAAAACTAAAAACAAAAGAACTATCTATTATTTATTTTAAATTATTATCTAAAATTCTAGACATACAGCATCAAGAAGTGATTGATTATTAATAATTGTATAAACTTCATTCAATAATACATGAAGTAATTCTTCTATTGTTTGTGGATATGTTGTCAGACGACTTGTTACAAGTGAATAATCACCAAATTGACGAAGGTTTTCACATATAGAAGATAAATAAAGAGCATGTTCACAACCTTTATTGTTCAAAAGTAAAGATATTTGTTCTGGTTCAAGAGTCTATTTTATAAAGTAAACATGCAATTAATTAAAATATATTCAAATACAAAAAATATGTTGAGAATTGGGATGTGCAGTATTAGTGTAAATACGAAACAGTGAATCACTGACACAGAATCCACTGATGCACTGATTACACTGATGTTCGCGTTAGTTTTAACATTGAGACATCAAGTCTGTTGTAATATGTTGGGTTTCTAGTGGTGTGTTTCAATGCTTCAATGAACATGAGTGGCACTGTGTCAGTGTGCACTAACTATACTGAGCCGGTGATTTCGACGGTCAGTAAACTAAAACTACACATCCCTAGATGAGATGAAAGAACAACAAAACGAAGTTAATATAAATCTTAACAGAAGAATAATAAAAGAAGTTTAATTCAAAGAATTGTCCATTGTGTATGAACCATTAACTTTTATTTATTTAATTAAAAAAGAAAAAGAATTTTATCTGAAATTATTTTCTTGCTCGTTTATGTTGGTGATGATCAAGATTATCTTTGTGTACACCTCTTCAACCTGTTGGTTAACTTATTTTGTCTTTTTTTTTCTTATATCTCCATTGTCGATACCTTTTTCTTCATGTACGATTTCCACTTAGTTCATAAATTCTTGTAGGTAGATGTACAAGGACCCTTAATTTATAACATCGTCTGTGCAGGTACTTGAATATCAATGTCTTCAAACCATAAATATATGCAATTTAAATACAGTCGACATTTACAATAACGTGAAATAAAAGAGCACAAAAAAAAGTCACACACATATCTATAAATATTCAAATAAGAGAACTTTCTTCTATGAGCAAAGCAAGGCTAAAAATAATAAGAGATTATCCTTTTTTTTTGTCTAATAAACATTAACAATCTATTGATAGAATTGAAAATGTTTATCAACAGAAGTTTAAAACCAAGAAGAATTTCTTCATTTCCGATTGAATATTTTTAAAAGTTTTTAAAACAAAATTTTATATATATATATTTCTTAAATGAAAATTTATAAAATATCTTTAGTTTCTTAATAAAATCAAATTTATTATACAGCATAATGAATTTTTTTCATCAAAAATTATTCGTCATAAAATCAACACCAAAATATGCCAGAAAAAAAAGCCACAAATTATTTAATATAATGACCTTTCTCGTCATTATTTTAAAAGAAGAAAAAAAAGCTGCATACCAATCTTTTTATTTTCTTCATTTGCATGAAATAAACTAATCTTTAAAATATATCAAGATCGATTAATAGTTTTTTTTAGTCACAAAAAAGTAAATGACAAATTTTTTATCAAGCATATGTCATTATACAAATGAATAACAACATTTTCTCTAAGCTACTATTATATAAATCAAATCATACTTTTTATACATCAAATAAATACATCAAGAAACTACAGAAATCTCTCATGAAAATGTACCAATATCAATTAATAATTTAAATCAAAATACAAAATTCACTAATCAATTATTCATTCCAAACAAACAAATGGAAAATATCATCAAAGAAGAACCACGAAAAAGAACAACTATATATCTTAGTGATATTCATGTAAAGAACGCTGATTATTTTCAACCAGCATCAACCATGATATCATCTTCGAATACTCATGAAACTGAAATACATGTAGATAAATTTCATCAAACAGAAGATAATGATAATGAAAAAATTGAATTAACTACACTTAATAATCATTTTGAAAATTATCTTAATAAAATCAAAATTTTAGCTAATATAAATATTAATCTTCGTCATGAAATTGTTAATATTTTACAAACATATATGGGACATATGAAAGAAGAAAAACAAAATGATAATAATAATAATTCTAATTCATCAGAAATTGAATTTAATAATTTACGTCGACAATTAAATAATGAATTACAAAAATTGATATCAATACAAACACGTTTACAACGTGCTAATTATGATACAAAATACTATAAAAATAAAGTAAAATTATTTTCAAAATCGAATCAATATGAAATAATTCAACAACAGCTTAATGTTAATTTATATGAATTAAATCTATTAAAAGAACAATTTGAAAAACAACAAGAAAGTTTACTAGTAAAATAATTTATTTTATTCTACTTTTTTATTTCAATACTAGTTCAAATTGAATGGATAAACACGATTTTTGAAATTCATTTTAGCTTTGAGAATTTTCCAGAGTTATGTCGCATAAAACATAATCGAAAAGAATTTTCAAATTGTTTGAATAAATCGAAATTAAAAGAGATTATAGCTGCAACATAGGATAATTATTCAGCAATACTTCCTTCCCAATCGTAACATCTCAACATTCATATCTAGAGTTGTACAGAACCAAGTTTTTTAGTCCCGATCTCGATAACTTTTATTTCCAATATTCTAAGTCATAGTCCCGATAAATCTGATCCAATTTCGATTTTGACCTAGAGAAAACTATTTCAGAATTTATTTGTAGAATATTTAAAAAAATCCCTCAATACTTGTTTTTGATTTATTTAGTCGATGAATAGTATCTTTTCCTGTCATATCTCCCGCTCATAATCATAGAATATTTAACTATAATCTTTAGTTTAAATCCGGACAACTTTTTTTCTCGTGGTGCCGGTTAGAAAGTTGATTACACATATCTATAGTTCTGTTTATTAGTATGACGAATATTGTCAGTTTTGGAAAAGCATTCAATCGGATGTGAGAATCAGAACTTCTATTGAGACTTCTCCGTTTGATAGTATATCATAAATTCCACGTAAAAGCTAAACAACGAATTTCTCATGTTAAAAATACATATCAAAATGCTGACGAATGAAATCTTCTATTTCTCTTCTAAACATAGATCTGCATTCTTCTTTCTCTTTAGTCATACAAAAGACAATACAACGAATATATGTTAAAATTAATTGAATACACAAATGAATATAATAAAATAGCATATGAACGTATGCAAAATGAAAATTCTTTATATACTCTTAACGAACAATTATTATTTGAACATGAATATAGTAAAAAATGTCAAGAAGAATTTGAACAATTAGAAAAAATTCAATATGATTTAAATAATGAATTTAATAAAACAGAATTTAAAAAAATAATTGAAAAAATTCGGTTTGTATTTATTATTTAAAAAATAAAATTTCTCGATGTTTTTGTTTTTTGCTTTTAGTCAAGATTATGAAAGTTATAATGAAATTCAAGTATCAGAATTAGAACTATTCTATAAAACAAAAATTGATTTAATGCAAAATAATTTTCAAGAAAATGAAAGTGAAAATCATTCAGAAGAAATAAAACACTTAGAAGAACAAAATCAATCACTTGAAAAAAAATTAAGTAAACAATATATATTTTATTTTATTTTTTGTATTTCTAAAACAAATCTTTTGTTTTCGTGTTCTTTTTTATTTTAAAGAACAACTTAAAAATGAGCTTCATCATATAAGTGAACAAAATCAACAACAATACGAATTATCATATAATGAATATCATCAATTACAAATTCAAGTATCTGATATAGAATCTCTTATTTTAGATTTACGCAATAATACAATTCAATTATCATCAGAAATAAATACATATCGATGTTTATTGACTAATCTTGTTTCATCATTTCAACAGACAAACAAACCTTCTTCTCATAGACAACAAGCAAATAATATTATTTTTCATTTTCGAAATGGATTACTCTATGTTAGAATTTAAAGTATGAGAAAAAAAGAACAAAATTTTAGTATTAGTATCTGTAATTGCTTTTTCTTTAAACTTACTTTATTAAAACGATGAAAAAATTGTTCAATATATGATTGACGTTGTTCAATTGTTAATGGTTGAAGTTGTAAATTATAATGAATATGATTAAGAATTGTTTCATATAATTTTAAATTTGTTTCACAACTAATTATAATATATGTATGATCAGTCATTAATTCATTAAGATTAGAAAATGGAAATTCTTCTTTATATTTTCTATTGTGATGAATATCACCCTAGAAGAATTTGAAATTTTTAAAAGATAATATCAATGTTAACTTACTTTATCTAATCCATCAACAATAATAAGAAGTGGAATAGGTAAAAGTCCAATAGCATCTGATAGAAATGTATCATCGGTTATCTTAAGTCGTTCACCTGTTTTTGGCGATATTAAATTATTTTCCTCTAAATAATAGAAAAATATCTTTTTATTTATCTTTTTTTGTCTTATTTAAATTTACCAAGATATTTATCTAACTTTTGTTTTAAACTAGTTAACATAAAATGACTAGCATTAGCATGAAATGCTCCATCAAGAAAATAATAGAAGAGAAAAAATTTGTTTTGAAATTTTTCCTATTTAATATAAACACTAAAATAAATAAAGACAAGAAAAAAACATAATTTTTAGATTTACTTCGATATTTAATACAAATTTTCCAAGTAATATCGATTTTCCATCACCTGATCGACCTGTTAAAGCCAAGAAAGGTTGAGCATTCTCACTTGTTGTGTCCGTTGCTAAGAAATTTTATTAAGAATAGTTTTAATATAAAAGGATTTTTTTTCTTATTTACGACTGATTAATGTTAAATCTTTGTGATCGCCTGTTATATATTTGAATAAAAATGAAAATTCGTTAGGTCGATCAACAAAATATTGAGTTTTATTAAGAAGAAATGTATTCATTTGTTTTTGTTCTAGAAACAAAAAAAAACACAACATAAACATGTTTTCTTTCTATTTGAAAATTTACCAGTATCCAATGAACTAGTATTGGTAAAATTAGCCGGATACCATTTTTGGATAGCTTGAATTAAAAATTTTCTTGCTTGTTCTTCAAATTCATGTAAACCATCAATTTTAACCTTACAACAAACATATATTCAAAATAAAAGAAAAACATAACATTCGATGTTTTTTTGCTTACTCGTTCACGTCCAGTTGATGAATCAAGACCATTATAAAAACAATCATAATGAAAAATTTGTTCCGGTGGAAATATTTTTGGTAATTGATTTTTTAATTCTTGAATTTGACTTTGATTAAATTCATCTTTATCACGAAATTTATCTTTATATTTATCAGGAAGATTACTAAGAATATTTTCTGATTTTCGTATTAAAAAAAATGCATTTGGATTATGTGTACGAAATGCACCATGGATAAATTCCATTAATGTTATTGATGCTTCATCAATCCAACGATATCGTTCAATTATATTCTTTGGTAATTCATTAAGTTTTGGAACCCAACCATATCTAAATCAAACAAAAATTTTATTTCGAATCTTAACAAAAGAATATTTGAATGTTATGTGCAGAGGTGCAAAATCTACCGTTAAAATGAAAAATTTTTTCTTCCGTCTACTTAAAATAAATCTTTTTCCTTTTTAAAAGAACTTCGTATACTGATTGCTACAAAATTTTATTAGCTAATTTCCAACACTATAAAGTTCTTATATAAATAATAGTTTTTTTTTTTAAATTCCTTCTACACACGTGGGTGCATATAAGTAAATTCTACAGGTCTGGCACTATCCATGCGGATAAATTTATTGTCATTGACCTGCATGACATGCTATGAAATCAAGTGAAATAATAAGGAGTATGTATTAGAAAAAACAAAGAAAAAATAAAAATAAAAATAAAATAAAAACTCACTTGTCACTAACAAGACCAATAAAGAACGGTTGACCATTATCTTCAAAACATCGATCAAGTTCTTCAAGACATGTTAATATTGTTTGTTCGGTCGTTGAATCTTTTGGAACCTAAATTAAGATAAACAACAAAATGTTTAACGAAATAATAAATTCTTTGTTTTTTTTTTGTTAGGAATATTCGATTTCATTTCTGAAGATTTTTCCATTCATTGGAAGTGTTTTCTTCTTAACAAATGACTATAGTAATCGATTAAAAAAATATGCGAACCAAATAGAAAAATGAACGATATTCACTTTGTTACATGCAGATTTTGGTAAATGTTTCCATGCAAAATAATTGATTTTCAACTAGTTGAATTTTTACAATCAATTTATCAAGGATGAAATACATAGATATTTGAGTCTTGTGGGACATTTTGAAAAAAAAAGGATTCGGAATTTGAAAAGAGTTTGTCCCACAGGACTCTAATAGATATACATCAAGAAATTATATTGAATGATGATTTCATAACACATTAGAGACTTACAAATGGGTTCAAATTTCATTCACACGAACATCATCTACAGAGGATAATAGGACATGATCTAAATTTACTAATTAGAATAATATTCTGTTATTATATTCTTAGTTTTGTCGTAGATTGGTTCTACTAATAATGAAGTTTTAATAGATTGAAGATATGTATGAAACATTCTCAATATTTGTTCCAAATCATCGAAAAAGAAGAACCGAAGAGATTCAGAATTAGAACTATGAATATGCATCTTTGTAATATCAGCTAATGTCTTATGAAAACTTTTCGTGCGTTCTCTGTATATCTTTTTCTATTGAATATTTCGATGAGAGAAAAGCTACAAAACATTCATATTTTACCCATTAACATATATCTGTTCTATTTCTAATAGTAAAAAAAAAACAGTCATAAGAGTTTAATTGCTTTAATCTTACTTACACCCCAACGAAGATCACAATCAATTATTTGAATACCTGCTGGTTCCATTTCATCACGTAATGCAGGAAATACCTTTCATTCGAAAAACAAAAAAAACGAATAATTTATATTTCATTATAAATAATTTTCTTACTTTTTTTATAAGTACTTCTCGTTCATTGAAAAAATCTGTAAATGTAGATGAAACAAATATTCGTACAATTTTATTTGGTGTTTTTTGATTTCCATGATCATTATTATATTCCAAAGTTTGACTTGCAATATGTTCATGAAGTTTATCCCAAAAATTATTTTCATTTAATTGTGGTGTTTCACATTTAATATCAACATTAATAATACTTAATGGTGATTGCAATGATCCATTTTCTTCTATTGGACGAATTGTTTGTGTAATAGGTGGTAATTTACGATAATTTCTTTGAACATGAACTAAAGCTCGAAATGGAAAACGTTGTTGTGATTTACTTGGATGTGACATTATTAAAAAAGAAAAAAAAATGAAAGCTAAATGACGGTAGAAAGAAGAAAGAAGAAAAAAAAATTACACCATGTAATTTTTCTGTTGTTAACGACCAAGAAGAAAAGAAAAATCTTGCCAGCATAGCAACTTTTTATCGTTCTTTGCCTTTGAAAGAAAAAATTGCATATATATATATAAACCGAATCATCTCAATGGTTTAAATTAATATTGATATGTACTATATGATATGAAAGCTAATTTGAAAATAATACTCGACATCCGTATGCAACAGATTCTATTTGTTAAAACAAACCAAGTGCAATAGTTATATATGAAACAGATAGAATGGTTTTGTCAATTAAAAATATTTGAAGAGTAAAAAAACAATAACATTGTATTTTCTAGTTCGATGAGATCTTCTGTTATTTCATCTGTAGATATCTTTTACGAGTGAAATTGTTAAAATAAATTAAAATTTTTGAAGGCATCATAAGCTACAATCAATATTTAGAGGATAATTTCCAATGTTTATGCTACCTAGACCAATTCGTTACCTATAACGCCCTCTGTTCGTTATTTGACTTGTCATTTTACATGTGATCGTAAAATAATTAGACAATATATTCACTTAGTTTTTAGCCTTTTTAAGAAACCTATAAAAATTTGAAAACATTGGACTAGAATCGGAATTTAGTAAATTAAGATTGGGCGAACTTTAGCGCGCCAAAATTTACTCAATGTAGACAAGAAAATTATTTCAAATACAGCGAATGAAAGAGCAAACATTTCTCAACAGAGTGGTATATTAATAATTAGTTAGTTCGAAGTCATTTGTTAACAGTGTATGTTGTGATAAGGAATACCATATCAATTTCGGCAATCTTCTCGATTTCTATTGAAAACAGACTTGCAAATTGAGCTCGGACATTTCTGAAATATGTAGTAAAGGAGACTATAGAAGCAAAAAAAAAGGTCAATTTTCTTCGTTCAAACTAAATTTATAAGCCTTGAAGAGATGAACTCAAAACTCTTAAACCAAAAATCCTACAATGATTTTCAACCCATATTCGAAAAGAACATAAAATTCTGACTCTAATCCAATATTTACAAATTTCTATAGGCTCCTTAAAAGAGGCTGAAAAATGAATGAATATTTTGTCTAATTACTTATCGATCACTCGTTAATCTATACTCATAGTACAAATACTCAACTTTTCAAAGCAACCAGAAAATACTTTCATTAACATCTGAACCTCGACGAGTTATACTCATTAATACCCATTTTATATAAATCATTAAAAAGTGATCAGCTCACTAAAGAGAATAAAATCAATCTCTAGAACATTCACAAACGCTCATAGGCAATCTTCTGAAATGAATAAGTAACATGTATGAATCATTTTTCTTTATAGTTTTTTTTTTTACATAAAAATCTAAAAATAACTCAATTATGTCTAAACATTCAAAATGGTGATATAACATCAAAAATACTCAAATTATTTTTGATAACATCCCATTCACTAATTGATATATAAGTGCAATAAATTCTTGTATTTGTATCTTGAAAACAACTTAAAATATCATCTTCAAAAAAATAGCATGAAAACATTCATTATCCGTTAAAATATTATTGTAATCGATCTATTGCATTCATTAAGTGATATAGAATTGAAGAACCTATAAATCTAAAGAAAATCATGCAAAACTGTAAAGACAGACCGTTTTAAATCAAAACTTTCGGATCATAATTGTAAGGACATTCACATTTTTGTTTTAAGTTCTAAGATGTTTCGAAACAAAATTCATCAGAAAGTATTTCGAATAGCTTGTCAACGAATGAATGCTCTACATAAGTATGCAGTCCTCATGCAAAAGCTTTTTTCATTTGAATAATACACTACGCGTTCCATATTAATATAGCACTTTTTATTGAAAGATTTTTTGCCATTATCTTTCACTGATGAATCATCGTGTACTCACGTTGAAATTCATATGAAAAAACTTGTCTAAGATTTCAACAATTATTCGTTTTAAAAAAAATATAGGTTGAACAATCAGTTGAGAAAGGTGGATGTGCTATGTTGCAGATTATTTATCTAAGCATATTTAATATTAACAACTAGTTTGTTTTCAACATTTTGATTTTAAATTTTGTTAAAAAGAAAATAAACAACCAAAATCGAATGGCATACCACTTTTATTGGTAACAAACGGCAAAGAAGATCAATCATTATCTGTCACTGATTCAATGTTGATTTACCAAATTTGAATTCTTTTGACTAAAGTAAATGTAAATCATTTGAGTATGTGATGATTAGTCTTACACAGGTTAGATACAATTGATAATTTCACTTTTAGACTTGATCTAACGGTAAACTTTGAATATCACTTACTCTTTAAGGAACGAGTACAAAATAATCCAAAAGTGGATTATACATTACTTAAATAATTCTATATCGGATATATATGATAGAAACTTCATTAATCAGAATATCAATAAATAAAATAATGAGCCTGTGAGTAATTTTCTCTATACTAACTACAGAGCCGTATTGAATATATCTATGTAGGAAGTGTTCTTATTCTTATATATACAACCAATATGAAAAATTTCGGGAAATAATAAGTTCGTATTGCTTTTTCAAACTTTGTTTGAGATGGAAACACTTGATACTCCTCGCACTTCTAGTGTACTATCCCTGATAGTGACTATAGTTGTGCTGTAAACTATATCTTAAATGTTTTCACAAGATTAGAACACTTTCATATTAACAGATAACCCAAGACAATTTATTGAGAGAATAATAAGTTTTTTATTTTAAATATGCCGAAATCTATTCCTCATATTTGGAATATTGAATAACACATGATTTGAGTTCATAATCAATTTATTAATGTTTGATATCTTTAGTTTTGTTTTGCTCACCGACTGTTGTGTTCGTTTATTTGACGTCATTTTTGTTTTTGTTATTTCATATTACCAAAAAAAACAAGAATAACAGTCTTTCTCCTGTAGATATTGATGAAAAAACGAAAAAAAAAAGAATACTGAATATTTTTACGCTTGATTGCATTACATGACTGATATATATATACATATATACATAGTTAGTAATGAGATACCCTCATTGATTCTCCTCATTCATTTCTTTACGTTACCTTCTTTTTCTTTTCTTCTATTTCCAATGATTTTTATATATACCTCTTTCATCAAATTCAATATTCATTAATGTTTGATATATTCATAGTCATCAACCGATATACCTGCGGAATCAAATTATTGTTTTTCTATTTGCATATAATTGAATCCTATCTATTCGTTTGAATAGTTGCGATCATGTGAATATATACCTTGAAAATCAGTTTGAAGAGCATATGACAGATGTGCACCATGAACCTTGCGCACGGAACGAGAGATAAGAGTTAAGAAACAAAAACAGACCCTATCAACCTCATCACGCTTGCATCTCCATTCTCACGTCACACCATTACTCAGCACTCTCAGAATTGTCGTACACATCTTTCGGAATCTACAGTTTTGAAATAATAAAGCCTGTTAACTTTTCTTAAAGATAATATTTTAAAACAAGTTTTCAATTGTCAACATGGGTACTGCAGCATATCGACAATGGCGTGCTCCTGACTTTCAAAAACTAAGCCCGTAAGTGATTTTCTTCTTTTGATTATGATAAATATATAGTATTTTTTTTCTTTTTACGTAGATATAGTGCTCAGCAACATGATGGTAACGTTGATTATTTTTCGCGTTCCCGTAAAATTTGTTTTCTATCAATTCGAATGAAAATATTTTCTAACTTATTTGAGTTTTAGATTCTTATATTATGACTGAAGCACCATGGGATGTAACACAATGGATTGATCCATTTGAACCTCAAACTAAAATGACCACTATGCCTGTTTTGCTGATTATTCGTAAATAAAAAGTCAATGCCAACATCATCAGCAACAATTTGTAAAAAAAAACATTTTTTTTTTGAATTTTTCCCACTGCATAAGATATTTAAATAGAATTATGCTATGTCATTATTAGCTGACTCGATTTTGTTGAAAAACAAGTAATTTTAACATCAAATAAATGTCAGCACATCCTGTGAATTGATTGATTATAATAATTTTTTTAGAGAAAAAAAAAGCTTTCCTAAAACTGAATTGTTGTGAATATTTAAATGATATTAAAAGAGTATATTCATCTCACGTGAAATTTTTTAACACATGAGTTCATGGCTATGTTTCTATTTATTCGAAATTGGCCATTTCGAATCACCATATGAAATCATAAGTAATTGCGTCATAGATTGCGCTTAATTATCATTCATCGACAATAATCGTACAATATGTGAAATGGAATGAAACCATACTTTAAATAAACTCATCAACGAGACGAATAGATTTTTATCAGACAACTAACAAAGTTTCATACGACAAAGGTGTTTTTTGTATGATAAAACGTTGAATCTTGTTCCACATATATCATTGTTGCATAAGATGTTTTTGTCGAAGAATCCAAAGAAGTAAAATAAGATTACCAGAACGGACTTAGAAGAACGGATGAAACAAGATTTGTTGATTGATCGAAACTACAAGTCCATTGTTCATAGAAATAGCAGTGTCCCTCATATTAAACATTTTCAAATTGAATTGATTGGTATAATAATGGAATATATATGCAAGATTATTGGATAAGTAATACCAGTCACGAAAGGTTAATAGTAACAAATGACTACATATCAATGAACAATTTTAGAATGAAATACGACCAGATAATATTCAATTGAAGCATGAGTCGTAAGCATTAAAACGACCATTCTGAATAAAGAATCGGACCATGCCTAAAATTTATAAAAAAAATCTGTCTTATTCAAATAAAAAAGGTTAAACGAAAGAAAAGATTAAAAAGATTATTTATCTGACAATTGGTTCTTTTTTTTTACATAGTTTCACTTTTTTACACTTTTATAGATTTTTATATGTTGATTTGATATGAATAATGCGCTACGAAATATGTTTGCTTATTATTAAAATATGTTTGCGGAAGTTTTTTTTTTTAGACATTTTCTTTTGAAGCACGTACTAAATGTTTTGATGCTTTTTTCCCGGGAAAAATTTATATTCAGAGTCATAAATATGATCAACGTGGAGTATCCTGTTACTTGGGTCACGTAAAACTAAGTTCACAAGAACCTGGCTTTTGAAGACTACATATTTCTTTTTCTTAATCAGAATGCAAAAACGTCTCGAGAACGTGTATATATCATTTTTTTTTAACTTCTTAACAATATCCCAAGTCTTCTAATGACAATCTTAAAGTTGTCTATAATCAAATATACAGTAAAATATTGTCCTGGATTACTATAGAATATATTTAATTCAAATTGAGAAAAACATTCTATCTGCTTTTACACAAAATATTCAAAGGACTAGTAGTAAACAAAAAACACCGAACGAAAATTTTTTCTTTATATATATGAAAAGAAATATGCAGTTAACATATGTCGTACTGATGCGTCATCTATACAATTTTAAGTAGGGTACTTACATCAGTATGATGATTTGGAATAATAAAAATTTCTAAAACATTTTTTAGGTCATAATATAAGTCATTTACCGGAAAAGTTTATATATGAGGGCAAATCATTGCTTACCACCCACCAATCAATAAATCCATTGTTCGATATATATAATTTAACTGAAGACAACATTTTTCCCCATTTTTTGTGTTCGATTCACCTTGAACTCTATCTCTCTATTGAACGCATGATTAATTCAGATATTCGCTATAGGATACTATATCAAGAACATAATATCATAGTTAGTAAGTATAAAATTAACTTTTTTATTTTTATTTTGTTAATTGGATATGATGACTCTTAACCCTCTTTACTGAAACATTCGTGTTGACTAACAATATCTGATCCATATTTAAACTTGTTTTTCTCTTATAATTCTTTTTTTTTTTTTCTAAATGCTAAATAATCTTTTTTTCTATTTGTAGGTTTTGTGTGCATGCAAATGAACTTCTCTATTTTCTCAAATTGAGCTTATTGGTAATATCAATTCATGAAATCATTTCTGAATTAAATATGTTGTTGATTATTCTACTTCACTGAATAATAATAATTGCAATCGATAGAATATGATGAGCTACAATTGATCGTGTTTCACCTGATGCAGCTGATTATATTTAATATCAAAGCTGATTCTATCGATTCAAAAAAATTTTATAAAAAAATTTTCTATTGATATAGGTTTTCTATTTTAAGTTGCATCATTATTTCAACTTGTTTTAGAAAGATTCTGATCTGTCCTAGATTAATTTTCTGTTTCGATGATGAATAATAATATCGCATGTATTACTTGAATAAAATCATGAGAACAAATAACGACTGAGAACAGATATGAATTTGATTCGGGACAGATAAAAAAAAAGACTTTTTGTAACATGTGTTACATGATATTCTTAATACAGACTACAATTGAACGATTTGTGATGTATATATGCAATAACTCAGGTTCATGACAAACGATTTAAATAGCTTTTATTTTGGTCTAATATTTAACTTTCACTGTCAAGCTGAAAATGAATTTTTTATTGCACGTAATATTCAAGCTATGAGTATGCAAGATTTGAAATCATGTATTTTCCTGCCATGTATCGATTAAAAATTGGATTTTTGTCATCTTCGATTCTAACTTTTTGTATCATTTTATGAAGAACACTTTAAACTCCGAGAAGGAAAATGCTCGCCTACAACATCACAATTATTGTCGATAAATTTTGCTTATCTTTGAGCTAACAAACACTTGTTAATTTTTTCTTTCGCAGGATGAAAAGCTTTGATAGAGACAAACAGATTTCTAGAAAAGATTGGAGAAGATCTTAAATGAAGGAGTTATCTTTTGAGAAAAAGATAAAAAAACTGCTTTGTATTGTAATTCAGATGAAAAACTGAAACGTAAAATCAAAACATTATAGTTGTCAAATTAAACATCTCGTAAGTTCGATAATATTTCTACAAAATCATGAATAAAACCACATTTACTAATTCTAAGATAAGTCATTACACATAGCAGATTGGCTTCAACAAAAAAGAGTAGCATAACCAAGTAAGGATTTCTCTAAAAAATATAGAAGTTTTGCAAACTCTACAAGGACGAATCGTAATGTTGGTATCAAATCATATTCATACAAATGCTTTGAAATGGTACATCTACAATGAAATCTTTTTTTTTCTGAAGAAAACATTCGAATAATTCTACATAGTATATTAATAGTCGTTCGTAAAATTGCCTTGGTGAGTATAGCGGATCCAAGTATCTCCAGCTGTTTTATAGTGATAGTCGGAAAATTCTTGTTCTTGTTCTTCTTTAATATATTGTAACAAAATCAGCCAGTGAAAATATTTTAATTTGAAATGTTTGTTTTTAGAAATCGTACAAATATATTGCAAATCGCCCAATTTTTTTAAATTTTGTTATGTTTTCAATCGAATAAGAATTTTATTAAATTATTCAAAGCAGAAATATCGCAAAATATGAAATAAAAATTAAATTATTTCTATTTTTCAAATTATGAATCATTGCATTTAGTTGCACAATTACTATGTCATAACAAAAATCTTGCGTTGTTTTCTTTAACTCATATCGTTATATTTATTTGGTCGAAGAGATTCACGTTTTTTTTAAACATCTAATGGCTGAAATGAATACTAATGTTACAAATAATTCACCAATGTTAGTAACACGATTTGTATGTATCAGTGACAATCATGATAATTATGATTTCACTCTTCCGGATGGTGATATATTACTTCATTCAGGTGATTTTACTCGTAATGGAACAGAAAAAGAAATTGAAACATTTTTAAATTGGTTAAAAACTTTAATTCAATATCGTTTAAAAATAATTATTGTTGGTAATCATGAATCTAAACGATTTTATACAAAGAAACGATATAAAAAACAACCTTTAGCGATTGAACAATTAAAAACTGATAAATCATTAGTTACAAATTATGGTATCGTCTATCTTCAAGATCAAGCCTTTCAAGATCCATTAACTGGATGGAAATTTTATGGAAGGTATTTACATAAAATATTTTATTGAAAAAAATTTTTCATTCCTTTTTTTTTTCGTTTTGCGAAATAGTGGTTGGCTATCTGAACATTGTAAAGATCCAGATGACATTCGTCGGCAATGGTCTAAAATACCGAGTGATACAGATATTCTTCTTACACATGGCCCACCCTACTCTGTTTTAGATCAAACAGCTAATACACGTCATCATCTTGGTTGTAAAGAATTACTTAACTCAGTATCAAGTATTATTAAACCAAAACTTCATGTTTTTGGTCATGTACATCGAGGATATGGCCAATTTAAAAATGATCTTGAATTAGGAAGAACATTATTTGTTAATGCTTCCTTGTGCGATAGTAATTTTCGTACTGCAAATTTGCCGATTGTGATCGATTTAGCTAAGGATGAATAAAATGTATTTAGACTAATATTTAATATTAAAATATTTGACTAATAAAGAAGAAATTCTCATCGTTGTTGAGTTTTAATCGTTTTAGCAAAGGCATATTTGTAAATATTTTTTCTTTTCTCTAATAAAATTTGAAAATTGAAAATATGAATATCTTTTTCTAAATCATTCATCAGTTCAAAATGTTTAATTCTAACACGACCATCTGGAGTCCGCGCGGACTTTAGCCAGTCTCATGACACCGTTGTAAATACACGATATTAGATAAAACTGCTCATCTTCTACATATATTCTAGTGAAGACTAGTAGAGTATACTGATAATATCTGGTGCCAGTCATAGACAGAACGATGCTAATCTAGGGGAGATTCAAAACTTCTCAAGAAGTGATGAGAGGACGACATAAAGAGCAGGAAGGACGGATTTTATAGCTTT